TGGGGGAGATAAACAGAAATGGAATAAAATAAGACTGGAAAAAAAAAAGACAAAAGTTGCAATTAAACAGTTTTGGTTTGTTGAGGTAATAACAGATGACTTGTTTTACATATTAGTGTGCCTAAAACCAGCATTCCAAACTAATGTTAAGATGGTTTTGTTTATTGTATGTTTCAAAAGTAATGATTTCTAAAATGTTATTTCCAGACTCTAAAATAGAGCTCAAGCTTGAGAAGAGAGAACCACTAAAGGGCAGAGCAAAGACTCCAGTAACGCTCAAGCAAAGAAGAGTTGAGCACAATCAGGTATCTTTAATTTTATGGTCACTGTATTCAGGTATAAGTAGTTTCCAGGCCTGTGTCCTAGTCTTTGGTTAATAGTTGACACCCAGATTCCATCACACTAAATATTGTTCATTCATTGTTCGTTAAATGGCATCAGAAATCTGAATTTTGTGTTGTCAGTAGTGTACCTGTGTTTACTGCAAAAGTGTGTTTAATAAATGTCTCATTTGTGTTTGATTCTATGCTAAGCGTGGTTCAAAGCCAGTCATACTGGTTTTGAAATTTTTTTTTTTAGTTTTTACCATATCTTTGTAACTTTATTTTCCAATTACAGTTGACATTCAATATTACATTAGTTTCTTGTGTGCAGCATAATGGTTAGACATTTATGTAATTTACAAAGTGATCTTTTCAGTAAGTATAGCACCGACCTGGCATTATACATAGTTATTACAATATTATCGACTATAATTGCCTATGCTGCACTTTACATCCCTGTGACTATTTTGTAACTACCAGTTTGTACATCTTAATCCCCTGACCTCTTTAACCCGGTCCCCCAAGCTCCCTCTAATGTGGCAACCAACCATCAGTTCTCTGCATCTGTGAGTCTGATTCTGTTTTGTCTATTTTGTTTTTATTTATTTATTTAATATATTTTATTGATTTTTTACAGAGAGGAAGGGAGAGGGATAGAGAGCTAGAAACATCGATGAGAGAGAAACATCTATCAGCTGCCTCCTGCACACCCCCTACTGGGAATGTGCCCGCAACCAAGGTACATGCCCTTGACCGGAATTGAACCCGGGACCCTTGAGTCTACAGGCTGACGCTCTATCCACTGAGCCAAACTGGTCAGGGCTATTTTTGTTTTTAGATTTCACCTGTGAGATTATATGGTATTTGTCAAAAAGAAATATTTTAAAAGATGGACATGCCTAAGTAATTTCTATGCTATTTCTTTAAAAGGCAGGGAATGGTTTTATATTTGTGTCTTTGTCTCTAGATTTCTTTCTTTTTTTTTATTTTTTTATTTTATTGATTTCAGAGAGGAAGGGAGAGAGAGATAGAAACATCAATGATGAGAGTCATTGATCGGGTGCCTCCTGCACGACCCCCAATGGTATCAAGCCTGCAACTCGGGCATATGCTCTGACCAGGAATCGAACTGGAACCTCCTGGTTCATAGTGACTCAGGACCAACCACTGAGCCATGCTGGCCAGGCTGTGTCTAGATTCCTGGCTTTGCTTTTACTTTTGCCTGTCTTCTGTGACTTTTCCTTCAACTCTGAACTTAGTCTGGTTCTAAGACGACACTGTTCTCGTTTAGATGAAAATTTACCTTTTTTATTATTGGCGAGGCAAGATGAACTTAGTGTAGAAACTAGGAAAATCTGGTGAAGGACACTGAAATACACAATATGGATAATTTTGGCCCAGAGTATGAAGGCAAAATGATATAGAGCTAGCAAGAATGTGTGACTGGTCAGATAACAGGGAAAAAGAAGGGAGGAAGGATGATATTAAAGATGGTTTAAAGGATAATTGTTTCCGTTGGGGAAGCTAAACTGAAGGACAGGATAAATAATCAAAGGAGAGTAGATTGAGGAGACGACAGCAGAATCTGACAGTGGCCTTAGATAACAAAATTTTAAAATATAGAAGAGTGGAGAGACGAGTTTAATGATTCTTCAGTCACAGAGCCTCAACAGTTGTCAGCATTTTATCAGTTTTATTTCATCTTCACATGTACTCTAACTTAATTCTTTGGTTTTGCTTTGCTTTTCACTGGAGTACATGAAAGCAAATCTCTGACTTGTCATTTCACACATTAAAATTTTGGTATATGTCTCTAAAACATAGCTGTTTCTGTATACACACAATGCCATTTTCACACCTAAAACTTATTTTTCATAT